TTACTTTCAAGTTCAACTTTTTCTTTTGAATAAAAGAAAGATTCTCCTCTATTTAATAAGCAGCAACTGAAATTTCTAACTTATCAGTAAGAGACTTCGACAAAATCTCGAATTTTTTACAACAACTCGTAATATAAAATAGTAGATTAATCGAGCAAATATTTAACTTCGTCTGAAATTTATCCTTTTGAGTTTTTATTTTGACTCTATCATCAATTATGTTGCATGTTCTTTAAAAAAAAAATCATCTGAATGTTCTTTATATATTCTAAGCAATGTTCAATTATATACAGACGCTCACAATAAAATAAAATCGACGTTGAACAAGTTCATTTAATTTCAATTAATTCAAAAAGTCGAAATAGGCTTAATCATTCTATTCTAATTCATAATCTTTTGGATATTTGAATGGAGAATATATAAATTTAATCAGTCAATATCGAATTCAAACAAATATTGACGTAACTCTATCAAATAACAGTTACTAAGCGACCTCTAATAAATACTATTACAGTGGCTCAAAACGAACCAATTATTAAGAAAAAAAAAGTATTTATTGTTGTTGATAGTTTTGTACCTTAAAAAATTCCTTTTTCAGCCGTGAGCCTATAATGGCGCGCAAGGATATATTTATTGTGTAAATAATTAATGATGAAAGAGATATCCATTGAATAAATATCATAGATGATTCCTGTCCGTCCGCCAAAACGTTTTCAATCATCAGCCAATGTCAAATCTGATCGATTGAGAAAAGGAGGTCTATTGAAAGGTCAATTTTTATTTGCACCTGACATATGTATACCTGAAAATGAAGTTATACCATTGAATCCACAATATACGAGTGATACGTAATAGCAATTTTTTGTTAGTGTCTTTTTTTTGAAAACAATATGTTTCGTTTTGTTTGTTTTAATTAGTACAAATAATTCTATAGCATTAGCAAAAAGAGTTTTGCATGATGATAATAAAAATGATAATAATAATGAATTAGTATCAACATTACGTCGAAGTAAACGTCAAATAAGTAAACAATTATCTATAACAAAATATAGATCAGCAACATCATTTGATTCATTTATTGAAAGTCAATGTGAAGATGGTTTAGAAGCACGTGATACAGGAACTATTAAAGGACGTGGTGTATATACAACAAAAAAATTTTTTCGTAATGATTATATTGTTGAATATGCTGGTGAATTAGTAACACAAAGTGAAGCTAAAAAGCGAGAAACTTTATATGGATGTAATCATGATATTGGTTGTTATATGTATTATTTTAAATGGGGAGAAAAAGTTTTTTGTGTTGATGCTACTGAAGAAACAAATCGACTTGGTTAGTATAGTTTCGATTATAATACAATTACATTTATAAATTATTCTAGAGAAGAAAAACTAAAGCTCTCGAAACATTGCATAGAGATTTATTTAATTAAAGTTATTTTATTTGTTTAGGTCGTTTGATAAATCATAGTCGAAAAAATAGCAATTGTCAACCAAAAGTATTTGTTGTACGAGATCAACCACGTCTTATTTTAGTGGCACTACGTGACATTGACATAGGTGAAGAACTATTTTATGATTATGGCGAACGTCGTAAAGATATTGTTGAAGCATTTCCTTGGTTAAATGAATAATTGTTCTTAGTTAGTTAAGTAGTTTCTCTTATCTAGATCTGTGTGATCTAAAACAAAATTTGTAATTAGATCTCTTAGCAAAATGTTTTTTCTTTTTTTTTGTTTGTATTCATATATACACATAATTTGCTACTAGTCATATTCTTTTTTTTTTTTTTTATAAAGCTTCGACTTCTTTTTTTTTCGTATATTGCACCTTTGCCATATGTATATAAAACAAAAATAATGCGAATAATTTATGTGGAACGATTAAATTACTTCTTTTTTATTATTGTGGAATATATATATATATTAATAAAGATTGTGAAAAAATTATATGCATAGCTTTTTTCTTCTAGCAGACATGAATTTGATTATTAAAAGATACAGTATCTGTTGCTGATAATCGTTCAAGGTAAAAGTAATTAATAATATACTTTTTTTAATAATAAACATGCATAAAACACATAGAATACATGAATGTTATTTGTAATGAAAGAATAGCAATTTATTTGCTATTTGTGACTGATATGAACGTGTCATTTTACTCTGTTGATCATGAATTACTAATAGATTTTGAGTTTTTTGATATATTGTAAAATAGTAAGAAAAGATAAACATATCGTATATTTATTCGACTTTTATCTTCACTCAAATAAAATTATCATAAAAGTAAGACGTGCACAAAACACTATGGGCATGACACAATGAATATTAAAAACTTAAGCTTATGAAGAAAAAGCAAACCCTTACAAAGAATTTTGTCTTGCATGCGACATCCATCCAGTAATAATCCATACCAAGCAAATTTTGTTAGGTATAAGAAATTTCTTAACTTTGATATTCTATTCAAAAATAATCACTTTAGTTCCATACATACATAACAGACAAAAAAAAGAAACAGATTATCTGCCATTATACACGAAACCAAATGAATCAAAAGGTTTATTATGCCGTTGCTAGCCATTTGACTCTAAAATTCTGTCACTATTACAGAATCTACTGCTAATTGTTGATGATGACATTCAAATTAAAAGTAATATCGAAGTTAGATATGAGAAATGCGGGTATATGTATATGTATCACTGATATGTGTCATCATGACAAAAGATTTTTATTCTTTAGATAACTACTATTATCTCTCATGTATTATGTGATCTCTGTTATATTATGGTAACTATTTTCAAATATGTCCATCGATTTACATATAATCAACTTATTTCTTCACTTCAATATCTCTAATAAATAACGGTTTGGAACAAATAATAGAGTGGACTGGAAAAATTTAAAACATTTTTCATCTTGGTATCTTCTATGAAAAGAAATGAGGTAAATGATATTTTTGAAGCGCTATATGAAGTTAGAGTCAAGATCTACACTAACTATCTATTTTTGATGTAATTGAATGTAGCCTGAAGAACAAGAAGAGATTTCAATTTTTGTCTGGTAGGCAAAAGTTTAAGATATTTTTAGTATTTTGTTGATTAAATTATCAGTTAAAATCTGAGACAACATTCAAAACTTATTAGCTATAAATTTTGATCTTCAAGTATTTCGTTAGAACGAATATTAACAGTTGAATAATGTCATGACTGTTTTGTAGCAGCACTTTTTTTTTAAATATTAACTAAACCTTAATTAATAATCTATTAATAATTAAAAAAAGTGCATCGTATAGAACAGATTGTATTTTATTAAATGATATCTCATACACTTCTGTGCAATGTGTTCCTCATCAGATGTAATCCTTTTATCTTTTATCATAAATTTCAAAGATGATTTTTAGCTATTTTTCGCTTGCTTTATATCTTTATATTTTCGAAGTGCTATATTTGATTAGAAACACATTACACAGAAATGTGCAAGATCTCATTTGATAGAAAAAACTTGCTCGATAACATGTTTTTTTTTAAGTTCTGAAGTTTATACTCAGAGTGAGATTTTCATTAATTATTTATAGGGTAATAATTAAATTTTAATCAGTGTTTAAAAACATCATGTTATAAAGAATTGTTCCAAAAATAAAAACACACACTATGATTCAATTTTCAATGTTTTTTTCTAACGAGACATGAAGATCAAAATTTATCTATACTCAAATGTAGTCCGTTCAATACTGCAACTAATAGTATATTTTTGAAAATGATTTATGATTTTTGATAAAGACATAACCAATAAAATACTGAGTATGTATTAACCTTTTATCTTTCGAAGAAAAATGAAGTTCCATATTTTTCTTCGTGTTACAAGTAATTAGATCTAGAATAGGTGGTTAGTATAAACCATGATTCTAACTTTATAGTCCACTGTACTATCACTGATTATTGAGAAATCTTTTGCTCCTAGGGATTGCCAACTAGATGATTATAACCGAATCAGTTCGATAGTTTTTATGAAGACCTAGATACAATATTGGACCAGCTGTCAGATATTCGACTTGGTAACTGAACTCTAGTTTATTCAATATCTTTCCACGAAATTAATCTGTGATGCAACAGCTTCTTAACTTTAAAAGAGAACATAGTGTTTCTTTGAATGTTAAATATAGTGAAGAATTCATTGTTTGAACTATACTATGAACTCTTTTTAATGGAAAGTGTATAATGTCTACTTGAACTAGTCATTCTCTTTTCAGAATATGCCTACTCGAGATTGTATTGAGATTATGACCAAGAATTAGTAAAATCAATTTTTTTACTCTCGTGCTTTCACTTTCATCTGTTGGATCTAGATGATTTCGTTAAAGTTAAAGTAGGTCCGCTACTATATATATATTTACAACGGATATAAATCAATAGTAAAACAAACAGTATTTTTTTATTATTTATATTGATTAGCATAGAAGAAGAAATCTTATCGAAAAATGTCTCCAGAGATCATACTTCTGATGATATGAATTTTTGTTCTATAGAATTGATGCTATTTCGCAGATTTGTACTCATGATATTTTTTCTCAATAAAACCTAAAATATGTTACTCCTCTTAGAATTAGAAAAGTACTTGACCGATTTGATAGCGTTTTTACTCATAATAAATTAATTGAAGCAAACAAAAAGAAAAGAATTTTAAAAAAAAGCATCTTTCATTGATTTCAAACTGTAATTTCATACTTCCTCAACAATCCCACGTCATTATCTTGAAATAATGACATCTATAGAAAATTTCTCAATGATTGGTTAATATTCCTCCATCGACCAACTTTCTCGTTGCTCTATTCTAATCATCCCCGTCCGATTTGTGTTTATTTCTTCTCCTATCGTTTTTGCTCGAGTCTCGTGTGTGTGTCTGTGTATCTCGTAAGTGCGCGCGCCTTGTCGATTATTGATTTCCTTCGAGTAGAATACTTATTTTCGAAATTGTCATGATTTTTAATTTCTAAAACCTAAAATGAGTCAAATAAGGCAAACATCTGGTTTAACGACATCAACATCTCATTATACGTCATCAAGAACAACAAATTCCCCCTCAATAAAAGCTCTTCAACTTGAATATTCGAAATTACAAAAAGAACCTGTCGAAGGTTTTACAGTTAAATTAGATGACGATTCAAATTTATATAAATGGCATGGTAAGGATCTTTATTTTTGTTTTTCTCAAAAAAATGTTTTCAAATAATTTTCTTTTTCTTAGTTGGAATTTTCGGACCACCGGATACTTTGTATGAAGGTGGTTATTTTAAAGCTGATATGGAATTTCCAACAACATACCCATTTGCTCCACCAAAAGTAGGCGAGCAAAAAAACCTTGAACTTTTTGTTAAACTTTTTTCATATAGGTCCGTTTCCTAACGAAAATGTGGCATCCAAACATTTATGAGTAGATTTACTAAAAGAAAAAAGAAATCATGTTTTAAAATTAATGCTTGCTTTTTTTCTTAGAAACGGTGAAGTATGTATTTCAATTCTACATCCTCCAACTGAAGATCCACAATCTGGTGAACATCCAAGTGAACGATGGAATCCAACACAAAACGTTCGAACAATTTTAATGTCAATAATAAGTTTATTAAATGAACCAAATTGTTCATCACCTGCTAATGTTGATGCAAGGTAAATGAATATTTCAGAATGAATTGTTTTAAGCTTTTTCTTTTTTTTTTCTAAGTGTAATGTACCGAAAATATAAAGAACATAAAGATAATGAATATGAAACAATAATACGACGACAAGTTAATGAATCCAAATTAGTAGCTGAACAAGAAGGTGTATCCATACCAAAAACACTTGATGATTATGTTGCACCATCACGTGCTGGTGCAACAGGAAATAAAAATAGCAAAAAAACAATTTTTAGTTCTTTATCAAATGAAAATGATGATGATCTAGGAATCGATGTATGTTTTTAAGACTACATAATAATCAACAAAAAAAAAAATAATCCATTCTTTTTTTTTTCTTTACTTTCTACAGGATGAAGATCCAATGGCTGATATGGTCGGAGAAGATGATGATGGCTATTACAATGATAGCGATTAAGAATAAACTGTGATTTTATTAATATGACATATGTTAATGCTTTTTGTCTTACAATCAAAGGCGTGTCTTTACTTTTCTTTTTTTCTTTTGCATTGTATCTTCGTTTTCTGTAGATTTCAAAAAACAAAATTTAACTAAACAATTTTTTCTTCTTTTTCTCTCCTTCATTTATATGTAAAATCCAGAGGTGCTCACTTCGATGTTATAATTATTCTAGATAATGTCATCAGATTCGGTATGTTTATTATCATCACCAGATCGATCAAGTTCACCATCATTAATAGATCAGATTGTTAATGATTGTGTAACAACAAATCAGATATTTCATGATTATTATACCGGTTCATTAATACAGCAACCACGATCACCTGGGAAAAGACAATTAACTATTGAAGAATCACTTATTACAACTAATGATCCAAAACGTCTTTGTAACAGGTAAAACAAACAATAACGAATACTAATAATAAATCGGTTTAATATATGCATGAATTATATATGCAAAAGTGTATTTGATATATGGCATGAATGAATCGATGGTTTAACGCGTTTTATAAATAATGTATTAAGTCAAAGAAAAGGAAAGAAAAAAGTACTTACTATGGTAACTACACGATTACAAAGAAATAAGTCAGTTAACGCTTTCTGTCCAGTCATCTACCTTAAAAGTCGGTAAAGATCAATACGGGCGTTACTTATATATTAATGAGCTACAATGTTTGAAGTCTTTTTTTCTTGTAAAAATAGTATTTTTATTTATTAAAAATGAACATACAAACATATTTTATATTTAGCCGAAAACGAAAAATTTCTTTTTTCTTTTTTTTTTTAGTAATCTCCGAGAACAGACAGATCTGAAAATAACTACATCAACTAATATAAAAAGTCCATCATCATCATCATCATCATCGTCTTCATCAAATTCCATTGAGTCTCTATCGATTCCATCCTCACCACCATTACCCGCACATGTAAGTAATTGGTTATCAGATTTTTGGGCTATGTCAAATGATGATCGTAGTCGTGCAACTGAAGCACTTATACGTACATGTTCAAAAGATACTCTTCAATTAAATCATATTAGAAATCAAATTGAACCATATTTTCAACGTGATTTTATTCGTGATCTTCCACGTGAATTAGCATTACATGTATTAAAATATTTACCAGCAAGTGATGTTGCACGAGCATCACGGACATGTCGGGCGTGGTATGAAACATGTAATGATATATTATTATGGAAACGTTTATGTCAAACAAAATCTATACCATTAAAAATTTCACGAACTATATTTGATGATACAATTGATAATCAATGGAAACGTTCATATGCATGTCATAAACATTTAGAATATGTATGGCAACATGGACAACCATTACCTGAACCATTAACACTACGTGGTCATGAAGATTTTGTTATAACTTGTTTACAATTTGATGGAAAACGTATTGTATCCGGTTCTGATGATAATTCATTAAAAATTTGGTCGGTTGCTACTGGACAAGTAAAGTGTTGAATTTCATTTGTGTTTTTTTTTCGCATCTAAGTCTATTTTAATTTGTTATCTTTAGTGTGAGCAAACATTAATTGGACATAATGGTGGTGTATGGTGTAGTGAAATGACAGATGATTTAATTGTTAGTGGAAGTACAGATCGAACAATACGTGTATGGAATATTAATACAGGTGTATGTCAACATGTACTATATGGACATACATCAACAGTACGTTGTTTGGCATTACATGATGATGTTGTTGTATCTGGATCACGTGATGCAACTGTTCGGTAAGGATTTTTAACAATTAAATAATAGAAGTACAGTACTATTTCTCTAAAGTGGGCACCCTTCAAACTTTGTAAGCGTCCAATATAAGGAGACTAAATTTTCGTTTAAAAACCGTTTTTTTTTTCTTACAAAGAATAGACGCTTTCTTGTAGCTTCCTGAAAGATGTTAATGAATAAAAAAGAATTAATTATTGCTCATAGCTATTGGTCTTTGTATGCAATTTTGTTCTTTGAAAATTAATAATTATTACAATATAGTAAAATTTCCCTGTCATAGATACCTTCAAGTTTTTTCAAAAATAATCATTATAGAACTATTTAATAATGTTTACTCGGACAAGTTTCACTGGATCTCAGTTTTTGTTTCTTTTTGTTTCAGTGTATGGAATATTCGTACAGGTGAACGTCTTCATATGTTAAGTGGTCATACAGCAGCTGTACGATGTGTTTGTTATAATGGAAAATATGTTGTATCAGGTGCATATGATCATACTATACGTGTATGGCTACCTGATCAAGAACGATGTGTACACACACTTGAAGGACATACAAATCGAGTATATTCACTTGTCGTATGTTATTTTGAAAAGAAATTTACTTGTTTCTTTAATTGTTTTATTTTTTTTATAATAAATTTAGTTTGATGGTAAACATATTGTTTCGGGTTCATTAGATTGTATGATTCGTGTATGGGATGTGGAACAAGGTACATGTATTCATCAATTAACTGGTCATTTATCATTAACTAGTGGTATGCAATTACGTGGAAATATTCTTGTTTCTGGTAATGCAGATTCAACTGTAAAAATTTGGAATATTGATTCTGGAAAATGTTTGCATACACTTACTGGTAAGAAAGAATTTCTTAATTGTATAATTAATTTTAGATTAAAACAAAAATTCTTTTTTGTTTTGCTTTACAGGACGTAACAAACACGCATCAGCAGTAACGTGGGTTCAAGTTGTACTTAATTATGTTGTTAGTTCAGGAGATGATGGTACTGTTAAATTATGGGATTTAGAAACAGGAGATTTTATTCGAAATCTTGTTACACTTGAATCAGCTGGAAATGGAGGTAAGAAGAAATATTATTACATGAATGAAAAGAAGTATGGAGCAAAAAAAGTTACTTTGTGCTCGTGATTCCTGTCTTAGTAGCTGAATTAATATTCGTAGAACTATTCAGAAAGATCAAATTACAGAATTTGACAATGTTCTTAAAGTTGAAGTTATAGATGCAATCTTTTATGAAATTTCGCAAGGAATAGAAAAGAATATTTGGCTAGATTTAAAAAAGGTTAATAAACTATCATTAGAAACTTGCATGAGAGTAATTTTTTTTGGAAACAATCAGATCTTTCTAAAACGCCTGTCAATAAATTAGATTGAATACTACAGGTTTTTTTTGAATGATGGATTTCATTCGATGATATCTATTGTGCAAACTGATATACAAAATGTGCCAAAATTAACTTACCAAAATAGGATTTGAATATTTTTCTCGTGTTATAATTAAATCAACTTTTTTTTTGTTTTTTAGTAATAGAGAAAAATTCACTAAGAGTATTTATAGCTATTAACTTCGATTGAAGTATCAAAATTAAGTTCGTATTCAGATCTACAAAAATACTTATGATAGGAAAGCGTCTGAAATGATTAAAAGGTTTTGAATCCATATTTTGCTTATTAGTGGAAAATCACTAGACCAGAACAACGTTCGGAGGATTTTCATCATTGTCGATTGTTAACCGAAATATTCGGCTTGTACTGAATTCATTACCATAGAACTTAACGAGTTTTTTGTATTTTTAAATAAAAAATTATCAAAGAAACAAACAGAGAGCCTAGAAGAGTAAAAATGAGCAAAATTTCACAAGCGCAAAGAAAATCTAATGGAACTTCAGAATTTAAATTCGCAGTTCCCACCCTTCGATACGAATCGACATTTTTGATAATATCTTATTTTGACCTGAAACTCTACCTGCCTGAATCTTTCACTTGGACTAGTTTGTGCATAAATTTTTCAAATCTTTGAATCTAGTTGCTCTGAGATACAAAGTTTTCAAAGTTTCGCTTAAAGTTGATAGCTTTTAGAAGAATAAAAGAAACTTGAAACTCTTTCCAGTCATCAAAAAACAAAATTAACTAATTCGGTCACAAACAAAGTGAAGATATTCAAATTAGTAGCTTGTCTCTTGAATACTTTGTACTTTGGAGATTTGATATATGTTTTCTCAGAAATTTACAAAATTGAGACGAGATATACGTTAAAGTTGACTCCAAGTTTTTCTTGTGAACGTTAGCCTCGAAGTGACACCAATCAAATTCCTAAAACATATCCATTTGTATAGTGAATGCGAAAAAAAAATTACGATTCAAAAACCTCTAGTATTAATCTGATTCTTTAATGAGCCGTTCAGTTGACTCTGATGTAGGTCTCTAACTATCATTAAGTTAAAGAATATTCGGAAGTAGACTTAGTGAACTATTATATGACATTTCTCTTTTTTATAGGTGTTGTCTGGCGTATAAAATGTACAGATTCTGCATTAGTATGTGCAGCTGGAAGTCGTAATAGCACTGAAGATACTAAAGTGATTATGCTTGATTTTGATCGTACGACGATCTGTTCATAGTGTATTTCAATATGTGTGTGTGTTTCTCCTAGATTTTTTCCTGTCTTTAATTATATGTTTTTTAAAAAGTTTGTCCAATGTCTATATATTATACATATACTCCTGATGCAGTTTCTTCTCTCTTTCATTTGTATTATGTCTTTTGTTATCTGTTATTGTTCATTTTTTTTTCGTTTCGTTTCCTCAGTTTATTTTTTTCTCATTGATTAATTTTGTTGTGTGCCAACTGTTCAACTTTCTTTCGTTCTCGTCAGTCTTTCTTCTTCTCTGTATTTACATTGTCCTTTGTCTTCTTTTTATAAGTATATATATATTATTATTATTACTATAATGATCATTATCTCGTCATATGAACATTCTTTGTAATATATCTTGGTCGATTTAGTAAGAGGAGAAGAAGAACGTAACAAAAGCATATATATATAAATGTGTATGAATAAGAAAAATCAAATAAAATTGAACTGTTTGTTTTTTTTTGGTATATAGAATGCTAAGACTGAAGCAATAGGAATTTAATGAAATTTATTTTATTTTTAATCTAGAGCTAAATCAATACTATGCATTTGTCGGAAAGAGAAAATTATCTTTATATATTTGGAATAAAATTTTGTTTTTACAAGATTCTATATAGTTTTTATTCATGATTGAAATTAACGGAAAATGCAAATGCTAAAATGCATAGTTTAAAGTAGAATTACATATGAGAATGGTCACAATCATTGCCTCTCGCAATCTAGATTCATAAAATCTTCTTAAATTATATCTTCGAGACAGTTAATTTGTTTTAAACATACAAATATTCCTCATGAGCCCATAATATTCGTAGAAAAAAAAGAATAGACTCTGATAAGATAATGATTTGGCCCACAAAGTATTTTAAAATACTTTATTGGTGGTTCTATGCAGAAAAATATGCTAAACACTTCAGATGCCTTGGTTCAGGTCGAAATCAAATGAATTATACATAGTTTTGCAGAGTATTGTTTGCACCATAGAATATTATATAAGGGAATGTAACTTATATGAAAAAATATTCTAAATGATTCTAACTATTTTCCGATGATGAGGTATTGAACGATACCCTGGTGAAAGAAGGATATTTCGTAGAACTGACTTTTTGAATAGACTAATAGTGATTCTCATATGAAACGAAACTAATAAAGTAGGAGTACAATAAATATCCAATGACTATTTATGGGTATTGGACCCCAAAAGTAACACACAGTACTGACAATTTTGCAGAAATTTATCACTAAAAGAATTGCTATATGTTTCTGCAAAGAATAACCAATAAAGTAACCTAAAATCTTCGTGGGCAAAATCAACATTTTACGAGTCTCTATTCTTTATTGATAATTGAGAGATTATGGATGTTTGATGTAGGTGCAGGGACGGAGTTGAACTGAGGGTGAGGTGGCTATAGCTATTAGTGAAGAGAATGATTTAGCTCACATATAGCTTCACACTCTGAAATGAATGATAATATGAAAAGTATTGCCATTTCTGACAGTTTTTACTTTATCCAAATACTGTTAATCAAAACAGAGTATCTTGGCACGCAAATGTTTTTTATCCAAATTTGACAACAAGAATAAACAATGAAATTTTCTTCTTCTATAAAAGATAACCCTTTTCAGTTTTCACTGATCGATAGTCCTGAGGAGGACTACCCGTGATGAAGTTAAGTTTTATTTTTGATAGCAAAGGAAAATTTCATCTTGTATTTTTGTTGACAAAACCAAGGAAAAATATGAGGTGTTTGGATACTTTTTTATTTTGCTGTTGTACTCATTCAACACAGTCAATCATTTTTATCTCATAAAATCTTTCAAAAAAAATGTTCAATTGTATTTTCTTTGATATTTATTTTAAAGTATTATTCTCATTCATTTTCTTCTTTCCATTTTTATACTTTAATTCTATATGAATCAATCTTTTTTCGATAATATTTTATTTAAATAATCACTCATAACAGTCATTTTATTTTTGTATGGGGAAAATATTGTTTTATACGTTTCGGAATTCGATATTTACCGTTTAAATCTAGAGATTTCAGTTTCGTACAATTAATTCGTGTTGTATTTCGTGTAAAAGTTTGTGTTACTCTTTTCAATACAGTATAATCGACAGAAAGGTGAACATTATTCGGTAGACACGTTTTCGTATGAAGAAGAAATTGTTCGATATAATCATCATGAGCTTCAACAAGATCAAGTTCAATAAGATAAGGATATTTAATGATTGATAGCAGTTGATTATCATTTTCTGATATTTTAAATCGTTTATCATTTTGAGGTTTTTCATTGTTTACAGTTAATTTTTTCATAAATGGAAATGATTGAGCAATTCGAACAAAAAATTCATGTTCAAAAGGTCTTTCATCAAATAATGATACTTCACGAACATGTTTAAAATATCCACCAGGAAAATTATTTGTTATATAATGATAAACTTTCAATACATATGGATATGAATAAATATGACATTGACCTAATTCACTTTCGAGAAAATAATCAACACAAGAAATAATTTGATTATTTGGACAATCTTTAAATGTGTGTTGAATATCTTCAATCGATGGTAAATTAATTTGATTACGAAGACAAATAGTTGAGCGAATATTAAATATAAATTTTTTTAATCGTGGCATATGATTGAGAATATTTTTCTTCAAATCATGACCGTCGATAAATGTGTTCTTGCCACAAACTATAAGATATAAACCAATTTTTTCTAAATTTAACATTCGATGTAAAAGTGGAACAATTAATTCATCATAAACATTTGTATACGTGTCACAATATAGGGAAAAACATTTTAAATGAGGTAGATTTTCCTAAAAAAAAGACAACATATATCATCTAATTTGAATCAATTAGATATTAATCAAACTAATCTACCATATTATCAATTGTTAAACTTGAAGGCCAAATCCAAGAAATCTTAACATAAAGTGTATGAAGTTGATTGAAACGTCCATCAAGTAAATAGAGACAATCGGTGAAATATGTTACGTTAACATACAGTTCTAAGAGAGTTGATGAATAAAGAGTTGGAGGTGAATTCTTAAATGATAATTCTTGATAACAAGTTGGAAATGGATGGAAGTTTAAAGATTGTAAATTAGTGAACGTAGTAAAGATATCTGTAAATATAAGTTTATTCACATCGTCTGATGAAATTTGTTTTTCATTTTTACTAATATGGACAATTAGTGATAAAATTTGATTCTTGAATAGAACACTTAAAACAGTGTTGCCTAGATATAAATGAGTGTTAAGAAACAAACTACATTATATTTCTATTAATCATGTCGTAACATTGATTTTTTAGGTCTTTTTAATTAATTGTAAAACATTGAAACTCATTCCTATTCAAAATTTTGTAATCATTCATTTAATGTGGTCCATGATATCTTTGTCGATTTTCTTTTTATTCTATTTGATAATTGTTTATATGAAATTAATATTAATATATTTCAAATAAACATCCATGTTTTCAAAAAAAAAAATATTAATTCGGATATAAAGATTCGTATTTTTTTTGAATGAACCTTTTTTTTATCAAGATTTTATTTCTCAACTATATATAAAACGAGCTCAGCTTATTTTTGTGGAGCTCATGTATATTTTTATTTTCAACGAAAATGTTGAATATAAATTTCAAGTCGACTTTTTGTGACTCTCTCCTACTCCTTTAAAGATCTTAACAACCAAGAGCAAATGTCATTTAGTATGAATCGTCTACTACCAATCGAGAATAACAGGCACGAATCTTCTTTCACAGGGTTCCTATGCAATGAAAAAAAGAACCGAACATCATCAATAACAAAATTTAGATTGTTCTAGAACATTCTAAAGTCTTTCTCTTAACTTAAATATCTGAAATATGCTTTTCTATTTTTAAGTAGCACGGTTTTTTTATTTTCGTGCAGATAAACTATTATATAGTAGATATCAAGCATGATCAACAGTGATGTATGGATTTGAAACTCATCACATAACAAGTTCGAACTTTTGGGAGTACCCTATATCAGTGTTTTTTCTTGAGTTTATCGAAATACATAATAGTTTGTTGTGACCTGCTCTAGATATGATGGATGTGTACAACAGGTTTATTATGAAAGTCACGTATATTTTCGAAGAAAGTAGTGAGTGTAAGTATTAAGTCGAAGTTTGCGGCTCTTTCTACCCATACAGACATTAGCGATCCAAAAGAAAAGAATTGAATGGAATCAATAAAATGACAATAGCTGCTGTGAAAAAGTCTAAAATATTTCAGAATTTTTTTCGAAACTTTTATGGCTTGAATTCATTTTTAAATATTTTAAATAATGTAGTTTTTAATTTTTGTCCAGATAAGAGTTTATATCGAAGATGTCAACGATCATAAGCAGTGATGCATCAATTTTTCACGGTTATCATATGATCAAGTTATAACTTCGAAAAATAAATAATATCAGTGTTTGACTTGATCGAAATAGATATTAGTCCGACCGAGAAACAAAATCTATTCCAAATACTAAAATATATACAAGAGAATTTTTTCATTTTGCGTATTTTATATTAGTTTAATGAGGCTAAAGAAAATATGTGAGTTCCACATTTCAGTCTCCAAGGATAGGATGGGCTAGCAAGCTTCTTGTCAATTAAATTAATAGTTAGAAGAACAACAATAACAGTAAGTTGAGAAAAAAAACGAAAATAAATAATGAGCGAATGATAACGAGATCAATTAAAAATAGACCACTATTGAAAAAAAACTAAAACAGATTGTTGCTCTCACAATCTTTCGTTTGACGCATTTTGTATTGATATAATGATGCTAACGACAACATATTCATCCAACATTTCAATGTCAAAGGGGATGCTTTATCAAAATATTGTTTTTCACGGATTAAAGCAATCGAAGTAAAATACCTTACCTGTTAAGATATGCTTAACTCTTTCTGCGGGAATATTATATAAACCAAGACCATATAAATTTGGATAACTTGTAGCGAGAAGGATACGTTCCATAGTTGATGATTCAACATTAAGCCATTTGATTTTATGATGAATTTCAGGTAAAATTACTAAACAAAATCGATTAAGTATTGGATTAGACAATGGACGGATAGAAGAATAAGAGAAAAATTTCATTAATGTTAAATAATTTGTAAAAATTGAATCATGGACAAATGCGTTGAGTCGTTTATTAATGCCTATTAAAGTATAGAGTACTTCAACATTGTACAATTTTTTCAAAATAATCATAAGAATTTCATCAGGTAAATCATTCAATTGAATTAATGAGTGTTCCATATTTATTTTCACATCTATAAATTCTATCATAACTTAGAAATGTGATTATTTAAATATATACTCATGTTATATATTTGACCTTAATCGTCAATGAAAACAATGATGTATTTTTCAAAAATAAAGATCGACTATGAGTAAGCAAAAAAAATAAAAAGATGGCACTGTATCTCTTTCTTTTCTGTTCAATATATATCCCATGGATCAGCGAAAACTACTCGAAGCTAATTAGACGATACGGAGACTAATCGAATATTTTGTAATAACAGAACAAAAACATTTTTTTAAGCAAAAGTTTGATCTTAAGTGTAATGGCGACATGGACATTTGTTTTTTCAAAACACTCCATGTAAGAAAACCAAAAAACTCTGCTTTCAATCATTTTGAATGAGTGGAGTATCGAGTTTTGATGTGAGTATGTGCGAAGAGATGACCCATACCTACACCCACACCCAAAATAGTACGCACTTTGGGCTAATACGAAGGAAGTATATGCCTAATGAAAATCCAATGACTTTTTGTAGGTATTTATAACTTCAAACGTAACAGACAATCCTCACAATTTTGCATAAATTCATTACTAAAAGAATCATCATATTTTTCTGCATAGAATCATCAAGAAAGTAGTCTAAAATATTTCGTGAGCAAAATCAACATCTTATGCGGCCCTATCCTTTGTTGAAGAGACTATCGATCTGTCAAAGTAGTATACTTTTTCCATCTTACTGTATTTAGAGATGTGCAGTTTCAGTTTATTGACGATCATCGACTCAAAGTAGCTAGTGTTCACTGAAGCATGAAGACATATCACTAAAAAAAGGATATATGTCTATGACACATTGTTCAGTATTTACATCAACACTGCACGTGCTTACTTATAATCATTGTATCAATTCTATATAAATAATTAAATGTCGTTTACATTTCAAGGAAAAAGTATTTTAAATCAAAGTGCAATGCTTGTCAAAGTGCAGTTTACAACCTTATTTATCAAGGATATGTTGTCTAGACATTATGTCGTGACATAACACGAATCATATCATTGAAAAGAAGCTTTCTGATTTCAAAATGTTTTTTTTTATTATACATTGTATTTTCATTTCCACTATAAGAAACTAAATAGATGGTTTCTTGAGATATTAGCTGTAGCAAAATTTTTCCATGTAATTATGTTCAGAAACATGATGAAATGTTGATTTTATTTCTGTAAAAGATGTACCATTCAATATTCTATTCGGATCACAAAACTGAACCTTTATAACTAATTATTTTCGAAAACTTTACTAGAATGTCAATACTGAACGAGTGCATCATTGTGTTATTTCCTATCAGGAAAAATAAGAGAAAGTTAAAAATTGTTGAATTCTTGTTTATTCATTTTGATAATGTTTGGAATCAATCAGAGACCTAGTATGACCTTCAAAGCATAAGAATTATTAATTACTTATTTTCATACCTTATACAACTGGAAAATAACGTCTATGTGAACTAATTTGGATGCTTTATTCTGAAGCAAAAAGTTTTATTTTTACTGTATTACTTTTAAATGTATAATCGAAAGAACAGTGAGCTTGATATACAAATCACTAGATTAAACTTTTTCGATTGTTGAAAGCAATACAAAACAAAGAATTAAGTTCAACAAAATAATATAATAAAACCTTGGCTTTAGTTGAAGAGGACGAAAATACGTTGAGAAGAAACTGGAACTGATTTCGTAGGAAGTCTTGATACAGTGATGAACGTTTTTTGTTTTTTTACAATGTCTAGGACAGTTCATTTTATGTAACATTGATCCGATTAAAAATGATCTTATTTATTAATTACAGAATGAATATTTCTGGTTTTTCATTGCGTGAAGTAATGCGATGACACACGTGTTCAGTGTTAGAGATCTATAAATATTTTGTTTTTCAATACTGGAAATTAATTATAATTAACATCTAAACAGAAATAAAATCGAAGGATAAAATGTATAGTAAATGATAGCCAGCATTAAAGAAAGAAAGATGAATACAGAAAATACAGGAATAAATACGACAATTAATGAATCTGACTAGTTTCTTAGAAAATAAATACTGCAAAAATCTATTATTATATCAGGATAGTATAAAAATCAACATGGTGCTTTGTACACAAAGATAAAATCAAACAATGGGATGAATAAAAAGTAATAATTAGTTTTTCTATGCTTCATTCATTTTTTTTGATGAAACTTAAGTTCTTGTTAGGAAAAAGGAATCCTCGCCAAAGAAAAACAATTATCTTATATTTGTCTAGTTTCCAGTCTCTTCAGAATATAAACTTTAAATTTGTGATCCGGTGATTTCTCTAGAATAAAGATAAAGAGCTCAACGACACTTAATTATAGTATTTACTAAACAATGCACAATGATACTCCAAATATTTCTTCATCAGAACTTTGTGTTATGTGACACAAGGTATATTCCAGCAAATATTTTCTCAATTTTGCAATTAATATTCTCTAACTACTTCGGAATCACTTCAATTTACAAGAAACTTCTGAATATTCATTCAAAGGATATACAGATTTGAGGAATTCGAAATCAAATGAAGGAAATTCTAGACTAGAAGTTAAATAATTAGTCGACGACAAAAGTTTTGCCCGTCTTGAAATGAATTTTTTATTTTATTTTTGACGTATGAAAATAGAATACAACACATATATATATACAGAGGAGTTCAAGACATTTACGCAGCACATAGAAGTTTTATAAGTGTCTGCTTCTTCTTTGAGCAGAGTAAAAATATGTGAATACATCCATTTTTGGATGACTTGTTCAGAGATGAGATGGATTGTATGATAAGAGACCGAAATTTCAAGCTGACGGATTTCTAGTGAATGAATTACAATTCGAAATTTCATGCTCAGTGTTCTTGGTATTGGCTGTTGACGGAGCATAGCTAAAGCTCTTCCCTCTGGATGATCGAAAGTTATAAACTCGAACTCACTTCACACTAGCCATCTCATCTCTCAATTGGTCATCCAAAAATGGATGTATTCACATATTTTGACTTTGCTCAAAGAAGAAGCAAACACTTATAAAACCGCTATGTGCTGCGTAAATGTCTCGAACTCCTCTGTATATATATGTGTTGTATTCTATTTTCATACGTCAAAAATAAAATAAAAAATTCATTTCAAGACGGGCAAGACTTTCGTCGCCGACTAAATAATACAAATCTATGAAGAAGCAATAATAGACGGTGATTCTTTGAGAAAAATCAAGAGAAATTTTAAAAATAAGGCATTGCTTCTTATTAAAACTCATGTGCATACTTCGATCGAATATTCAGAATAAGAGCATTTGAAGCTTATGACTCTATTTTTGACATACAATTTAGTCAAATAATCAAATGATGATTTACAAAATAAATATTGCATGTTTATATTATGTATTTTATTCAATAAGAGTCAAATTCATACTTCATATAAATTGGTCAGGTATCACTTTGTCGTCTTGTATTATTTTTAATAGGTTTCTTCATGTTTTAAATAACTATTAAAAATAAATCGTGTTGTTGCCAATGTGCTAGCTTCTTTTAAGTTCGTTTTTTTAATTTATTTTTCATCCATTCAATATCAATTAACGTTCTTCTAAAGATAAGGCAGTAAAACGGATGTCTTCATGAGATTGTTTAATTAACAACACAACAATAATTTTCAACTATTTCAAATTTTTTCTTTTAAGATACTTTTGTATTGGTTAATGTTAAGTATAGGCTTCTTGTCGATTTCTATATTTTTACTATTACACTAAAAACGGGCATTTCTAACAGTGACTAAAAGACAAGTCTGTTTTTTTTTTGTTAAATCTATGCTTATATGAATATTTCTAATAATAGAATTAATTTCCTAAAAGTTAATTGGTGGTTGGAACTCTATTTTTTTATTATTCTAAAAATATAAATGTAATAAACTTGATAATTTTTGTCACAATTAACTTTTACATTTATACAAAGTTTACAGGGGTAGTTTTTCAATTCCAATAGATTCGTAACTGTTCAACCCTATGTTATTGATCTTTATCTCGAGCATGTCTTATCTGTGTACTATACCAACAACAATTATTTTTAAGATCTTCATTTTTATAGATGAAATCAAGTGCATTCAACCACCATCTTTACAAAGAACAAGTTCTAAAAATATTTTTCGTATTTTTATCATTGTTAACTAAAATATTTACGTTGATTTTGATGTGAGACATTTCGAACAATGCTATAAGCTTCTCTTTAAATCAATTTTATTACCTAACAAATGAATATTTGTATTAGAAATATTTATATTTGATTAAAATGTTGTGGCTAAATTATTGAATAGAATTTTTTTTAAACATTTTTTTGCATTATGTTTTTGTAAGATTTGTATATTTCTTTCAGTGACGGCGTCACGGGAAGTAGAAAGGGACTGAGCTTTCCATAAAATTTTAGGAATTGTTGCTAACGGTGATTCCGCACAAAGTCTAAAGAGCCTCAGCCCCAACCCTCTGATTAAAAGCTGTGACACCACTGCTAACTCTTTGGTCAGTCTTGTGTTTTACTTTCGTTAAATAATATATCTTTGATAAGAATCGATCAATTTTTATCAATGACTACTTAACGACATCTTGATAGTTTAATATTAGCTTGTTGTCAAGGTGTAAGTGCTCGTTATGTTTGGTTTTTCAATGAAATATTAGCTGTCTTCTATTGGAATACACTTGCTAGTGTATATACAATAATTGTTTAAGTTATAAAAGAAATTTATTTCTGACTTTTACCATCCTGTTCTTGATGGTTGTTTGCCTATATTTATTATAGTTGCATTTTGATTATTAGGATCGTTTAATATTCGTACATTAGCTAATCATCAAACTAATATTATCCGTTTAAATCGTGAATGTCAATTAACAGCTATGGCACTCCTGCAGTTTTTAGTATTAATGATCTATGTACAGCTGTAACAAATCGAGAAGATCTTGTTCATCGTCTATTGGTTGGTG